GAAGAGTCACTTGCTCCCGTGCCACTTATAGCGCCAGGAGCTCCTCTGGAACCCTACGAAGCATTTGTGCAACAATATCCAGACTACCCCGGTGAAAACGGGGGTGACAAGTTGCCCGGGACCAAATCGAACTTCATTTATGCATGTGTATACCTCAACTACCTACGCCCAAGGAAGCAGCTTCGAGACTGCCTCTATGATGAATTCATCCGAGCTTACCCGTGCTCTTATGGGGAGTACGTCAAACGCTCCCGTATTGAACCTATGGTTGCCATAAAATGGTTCAATCAGCAAACAGGCCCCTTGGTGTATAATAAATATCTTGTGAACAGGGGCAACTTGAGCCATATCCTCAGATCATACCCGGAGGAGTTCGCACGTGCGAATGAGCTGGTATCCAAGAAAAGCGAAGATGATGCTGGCGGGGATGATCTAATGATATATACAAGCTCAGAAGACGAAGGTGACTTTGATGAGGACGACAGCCAGCGTTCGGTTTCCCCACCATCCCAACGTTCTTCAGAGAGGGAAAGTGTCGAGTCACCACATCCAATTGCAACTATCGAGAATGATAAGGAAATCGACCCCCCTGAGATCCCGTCTGCGCCTCCTTCAACTTCTAGCAAAGGAAGGCCATCATTGGCATCGACGAATGATTTGGAGATAATCTCGAGGCCTGTGCCAACAGCGAAGCCCATTACTCCCGCACAGTCGAAAATCAGACGACAGAACCCAGCTTCAGAGAAAAGACCACTCCAGTCCTCACGAGCTCAAGAGATCTTGACTCAACCTCCTCCACCCACTTCGCCCCAAATGCCACAAACCTCAATGTTACCACCATCTACTATAGGAGGCTCAGCAATCAAGTCGACGGCTCCTCGACATTCACAGTATTTCAAAAGAATATCCGAGGACCTCCGGAAGGCGACACCGAAGCAACGCTCGGCAAAGGATCTTGAAAAGCTTCGAGAGCATTTCAGAAGATCGAAAGGGACAGGGGCGCAAGATCGTCGAAGCAGCAGTGGCCGGTTTGAATAGAATCGCGGATCGGGAAAGGCGCTAGGATCAAGATTACGGTTAAGTGATAGTCATGTTGACGATCGAGGCTTTCGGGGAGGCTAAGGCGTTTGTTTTTTATTGTATCTGATACCCAAAATCGTTGTTGAATCTGCAGAAATGCCGTCAGCAACATCTTCATGACTGTACAGTATTATATCATCAAGTATCACAGGCCATGAAAGGTCCATAGATTCGATTGCATGAAGAAGAGATTGATTCGGTGGCGGAAAGAACAGTCTATTGTGCGTGGGCAACATGTCTATGGTAAGCTAGGTAGCTGGTTCGACTGAGAACCTGGCTTGATTAATGGACTGACAGCATGGCGATGATGCAGAAGATGGGAGAAGTATTAGAAAGAAATAGAGTCCTTGGTGTCCAGTTGCCTTTCCTCGTCAAGATACTCAACTTCATTTCTCCCGTCATTCCGTGTAACAAGAACAAGATTTTATCTTCGCCCCCACTGCCAGTCGTCGTCTCATTTCCACGAAGGGGGGTATCATACAATCTTGTTTCAATTTTTTGGGTCCCAATCAATTTTGTTTGTGTCTTCACTCCGTGGCACGAACTACTCTCGCTGCCCATCCCTTTTCGACGTTGGTCTTTTTCGCCTTTGTTCCTTTTTTTTCTGCTGATCCCAAATTGGTGATGTTTTTGGTTTTGCTGAGAGTAAGGGTAAAAAAAGAAATCCCGGTGTTGTTAAGCCTTGAAGTCGTCATTCTGTCATTAGCGGTCATTATGATTTTGATTTTCTTTTCGTGTCTTTTTTTTTTTAGCTGGTGAAGAGAGTGATGTTTTCACTCTTCCTCAGCTTCAGCTCGGGCGGCACGGGCAGCGGCTTCATCTTCCTTCTTCTTCCTTTGGCGGGCTTCTTCCTCGGGAGTCATGGTGCGCAGCTGGAGAGCGTGGATGCCGTTCTCCTGGGCCATCTCGTCGCGGAGAAGGGCGTAGACCATGCGGTGACGGGCAGGCTGCATCTTGGAGTTGAATGCGTCGGAGGTGATGACCACGCTGTCACGTGTTAGTATGCATTGCATCTTGATTGTGAAGTTGGGTTGACCGGGGTATGTGCAGAAGAACGGTGTGGGTGAGTGAGGAAGGGTGTGAGTGAGTATGGGGTACAAGAGACTGCATTGCATGACAAGAGTGTCACGCGGGATGGGATGAGATGAGATGAGATGAGGCGACATGATATGATTCCAAATTGAGATGAGATGAGAAAAGGAGGTTGCACAGAAGTCGGCTGAAGGTGACAAAGAGCGCAATTCTTACCGAAAGTGTGTCTCGCTGGAGGTAGTGTGTTCCATGGCCTTGTGGTGGGAGTGAAGATGAGAGTCATTGTAGATCTCGAGAGTTTGGGGATTGAAGGCCGCGGTGATCTAAGGGGAATAGTCAGTGGGTGGTTTCGTCGAATATGCACATTGAGATCTCACCTTGGCTCGAATAAGATCCTCAACAGGAGTGTTGGAGTTGCTCATGGTTGAGAGCTGTCGCTGGACGCTCGAAAAGCCGAGCGCGTATCGTCGAAACATGAGGTATGGCGGTCTGAAGATAGAGGAACGTAGCGACGTCCAGGTACAGTTTGCGCAATGTCGACTGGAACTAGATAGAGTCGACAAAGGCGATACAGATGCGACTATTTAAAAAACGAATTGAGTCGATGACAACTCGGAATTCGCGGGCGATATAAGAAGAATAGAATCTTTCCTGTCCGGATCCCAAGTGGAGCGGTAATGGATCGACAGGGCAGGACGAAAGGCTCTGGTTGGCCTTTGGCTGGTGGGAGGGAGGTGAAGTAGGTTTTTTTTAACGAGGTTCCCGAGTTGTCGGTTTGTCCGCCTCTTTAAGCTTTAGGTTGTCGGTCTGGCTCTGGCTATTGCTGCCCCCAAAAATAAACCACACTGTGACTGTAACGTGACGTGACAACTGAAAGCAGGAACAGGAAGTCAAAAGCGAGAAAATAGCAAACAAGAGACTTTGCAGGCGAGACGAGACGAGACGGAAAGTGAAAGGTTGGAAAGGCAAGGTGGAAGAGGCGGGACAGGACAAACTGATATACGTTTCAAGATATGGACGGGATAGGATCTAGAGGAAGCTTGGACTAGAGGTAGGCATGTATGTACAGTACATTCTATGGATTAGTACCCAAGGTATCTAAAAGTGGCGGAACACGTTCACTCTTTCGTGAAAAAACAAAAACGCATACTCCGTACGATGATTGTGATTTGTGAAATTGACAACTCAGGGAGCCGTTATCCCGTTTCGGTGTGAAGTCGGTGTAGGAAACAACAAGCAAAAAGGAACAAACAAGCAGAAGCAAAGACAAAAAAGCCACCAAGTCAGTCACATAGACATGTACAGCACAGTACAGAACCTACTGTAACCCAAGGTAAGGTACAGGCCCCTTCTAAACATGTTCGTTATTCCTTCTACTGTACCGTGAAAAGCGCGGGGCATCTGCGTACTGTACATTTTTACCGTCTTTCCATGAGCCAAAGTGGCGGACAAGTTTTTCGATCCATCACATCGCATCACATCCCTACAGTCCTACACCCCTGAAAGCCTCTTTTTAGCAAATGATCAGCCGCCAATCTGCGTGTCCGTCCAGACGGTTGGGTCGGGCGTCGGCTGGCCCTGACCGCCTGGCTTCTAGAGCGGTGAAGCCAGGAACAAGGGTTACGAACTACGAACCCCTGTTCTCCTTCTTCTCTCTCTCTGTGTCTGTGTCTCTGTCTCTGTGACTCTCTCTTTTCTCTGACCAGTCTGATCGTTGCAAATAGTAGAATGCCACGACAAAGCAAGAGAGTCAACCTTTTACTCATGATAGACTACCAACTTACCTACCAGACTAGCACCGCTACTATACATCCCAATGACATATACCACACACCCCGGCTGCAGACTTGACAGCATACACAGTGGATCTTGTCATTGGAGCTGTGGGAGCTTTGCTGTAGGTACGGGCCCAAACAGGCGGGATCTGGTGCGATGCGATAGCGGTCTCGTGGATTGGCCCCATAGCTAAGGTAGTCAAAGTTAGGTAGCGTTGAAGGTTAAGGTCCGGGGTTTGTTTAGAGACAAGAAAAGAAGAAAAGATGTCAAATATGCAATCCACTCATTCACGTATTCGTCTTGGACCTGTGAGTTGTTGATGAGGCCAGCGCTCAACCATAACAGCCCAGCACAACAAACCAGTCACTATCTTCCCTGTCTCCCACTCGACTCAGGTCTCAGGACAGGAAGAAGGATCGTGTATGTATGTACGGAGTATGCATGTACCTACAATACTGTGCTGTACTTTCATCTCAACTGTTGGGCCTGGACGGATACCTACGTCCGTACGTACGTACATGTACAACGCTTGTGTTGCATTGCAGTCGAACGGTTCCTTAAGCCTCCCAGCTAAAAGCACACGCGGACGCATCTCTAGCTGCCGATACTCGTCCGTAAACAAAAGAGGCGCTGCTTATTGGCTTCACCTTCGAATCCTTTTCACTCTCTCCCTCAGAAGATGTGCACCTTTACTTTCTGTTAGCTCCTCAAAACTGTTCGGCGCGGCTTCTAAAGGGTACGTACCTCCGGGGAAGACGGCCGTCCGTCCGGGACCGTGGGCCGAAGACTTGACCCCATTTACGTCAAAGAGCCAACCCACTTTAGCACAGGGAACGTTGGAGCTTTTGCTTCACAACGCACGCAACTCCATTTCTAAATTCAGCTGTCGATTTCAATTAACTCATGCTCATGCTCCAGCGGGATCGTCAATCCCTAAATCCTATCCCCTCCCCAGTGCATGCCCTGCCTCGGCAAATGCGCCGTTGAACCACACCTCAACGTAACATTCAGAGCCCAAGTCTGCACAGCAGAGACTCCGGATTGGCCTCTTCTAATTCTTGAATCCTTGTCGCCAAACCCCGGCGCTTCGGGGCCTTGAATTATTGTTCGTCATGTCGCTCCTCCGACATCTCGTCACCTCCGCCGTCCGGCGCCCGTCTGCTGCTACCTCCGCTTCCTTCATTACCCTCCGTCCCGCTGCTAGAATGCTCTCGACCTTACCACGCTTACCGCTCTTCGAAGCTGTTGCACAACATGATCCAGATTCGAAAGCTGTTATCCACTCTCTTTCCGGTCGGACCTTCAAGTATGGAGAGCTTCTAGGTGATGTTAGTCGCGCACGGGACAGGCTGGCCGAAGCTGCTGGTCGTGAGGACCTCAATGGCGAGCGCATTGCGTTCCTGGTTGAGAATAGCTATGACTACGTAGGTGAGCTCATGATGTGATCCTCGTGATATCGCATTGCGACAGCCATTGACATGCGCTTGTATAGTAACTCTCTTGGCTGCAATGGCTGCGCGATCTATCGCCGTGCCTCTATCGCCTGCATTCCCTGCGCCGGAACTACAATACATTCTCAACCAGAGTGAAGCTTCATTACTAGTCTCCTCGCCAAAATTCGCATCCAAGGCCAAGGAAGTTCTTGCGACTGAGCTCACAACCCAACCGGCGCATGTAGAACTTCAGAAGCATCAAGGTGGGGGCAGTCATGACAAGGTGCAACTGAGTAATGCCGACTCTGGCGAAGCTGGTATGATGCTGTATACTTCGGGAACGACCAATAAACCCGTAAGTCTGCTCATGATGCTTCAATGGCTCTGTATGCTAAAGTCTCGGCTTAGAAAGGAGTACTACTCCCCCAGTCCGTCTTGACAGCGCAATCTCGCTCCCTCGTTGAGGCCTGGAACTACTCACCCTCAGATCATCTCCTCCACGTCCTCCCGCTTCATCATATCCACGGAACTGTAAATGCCATCCTTACACCGCTTCTCGCCGGCTCAACAATCGAGTTCATGTTCCCATTCAACGCTGATGCTGTATGGAAGCGTTTCTCAGTGCCCTTTCTCGACAATGCGTCCTCTACCGCTAAAGAGAAAATCACATTCTTCACAGTCGTACCCACGGTGTATAGCAGGCTACTCACCTCACACAAGAGCCTTCCTCGAGAGACTCAAGAAGCCGCCCGTAAAGCCATCTCGCCAGAGAACATGCGCCTCTCCATTTCTGGTTCCGCCGCACTTCCAACGCCTATCAAGACCGCCTGGAAAGATCTCAGCCATGGAAATGTCCTCCTTGAGCGCTACGGTATGACCGAGGTCGGTATGGCGCTGAGCTGCGGTCTGGACTTTTCAGATCGTGTAGATGCCAGTGTTGGCTGGCCATTGCCGTCCGTTGAAGCTCGCCTAGTCGACGTGGACAACGGTGAAATTATCAAGGAAGGAGAAGAGATCGATGCTCAAGGCCGCGAACGCTCTGGTGAGATCCAGTTAAGGGGCCCGACCATCTTCCGCGAGTACTGGCGCAATCCAACCGCAACAGCAAGCGAATTCGTTGAAGATTCAGACGGCAATGGAAAATGGTTCAAGACAGGCGATGTCGCTGTCCGCCGTCCAGTCCCCTCCGCCACTGCTTCCCAGTCATGGACACATGGCCCCCTTTACTTCATTCAAGGACGCAAGTCCGCTGATATAATCAAGACAGGGGGCGAAAAGGTAAGCGCTCTAGAAGTCGAGCGAGAGCTACTATCCCTCCCCGAGGTCGCCGAAGCAGCTGTCGTGGCTGTGCCTAGTGGGCAATGGGGTCACAAGGTCGGCGCTGTCCTAGTTCTAGATAATGACGTTGTCAAGAAGTGGTCGGCCCTCGATATGCGCAGAGCGCTCAAGGGACGCTTGGCAAGTTATAAGATTCCCCAGGTCATGCGGCTTGTTGACCAAATACCCCGAAATGCTATGGGCAAGATCAACAAGAAGCAGTTGGTCAAGAGCATCTTCCCCGATGATATCAGCGGGGATGAGAGCTGATATGATCGGCTTCCATTGAAAAATTAAAAAAGTGTAAGATATGAAACTTATAATCACCCTCATCGCTCTAAGAAGCCACACTTCACCAAATCTGCGAGCATTGTTTCAGCAGGTTGGTAGCAATTGAGTATGCCTAGCAAATATTCATATGAAGCAACTGAATACAGTTGTTTGAAAGTACAAAAATCTATTTTCCTTTCCCCTCCTTGGGTGTCCCTTTTCATACTTCGTGGATGCACTTGGGAAACAGCCCTCCAAGCAACGCCAATAGAACATTGAGCTAAATGAAATTAAGGATAAATCGTACCCAGGCTGACTGAGCGGTTTACATATCCGGGTTCAAGCCAGTCGCCGCTCAATCCTTGCTGTCCCGCTTCTGCTTCAACAACTCGTCGACCTCTCGTGAATCGCCAGATGAACGGCGTCAGGTTCAGAAACGTGAAATGGTCATTATCGGATATCGTGCTAAATCAACGTCGTGCCTCTGTGTAAATCCTCGCACGTTTAAACAACGTGCTTAGCCTTAGCTCGTGTGCTGCCCGAGTGGGCACTGTCGGTGTGTCCAGAGAACTCAACCTGCTCTGCCGCAGGCAGCTCGAGAACCTCCTTGAATCTGCGGCCGATAGACAGGAGAATCTCCTTACCCTTCTCACCACTGCGGCCCTTACCACCAGCGACATCGCCTTCACCTCGACCGGGGATACTCTTTCCGATGGTACGAGTCCAGACACCAATTCGGAAGAAGGCCTTTCGAACGTTGACAACTACACCCATGACCTCACCATCGTCCTCGTCCTCGAGGGTCTCGCCAATAGCGGCCATCATGACCTGGAGCCAAAGACGGTCTACATCGATGTTTCGCTTGTCCTTGTACTGGTAAGACCACTTGCCGCCATGCTTGTTCTGGGGGTCCTCCCACTCGGGGCGAACGCCGGCCTTGAAGAGGTGGTAGTCGGACTTGAGGGAAAGCTCGGAAACGGGTGCGACATTATTCTAAAAAATTAGCACGAGAAAGATCTGAGGTCAGGGTGATGACTCACGTAAACGCCCCAAAATTCCTCAACGGAGTCGAAGGTGATAACTTCCTTGAGGAGATCGTTCCAGTTGTCGCCCTATCACAAGTATTAGAATCCGAGTTCGGCGGTAAAATTCTGTCGTTTCTCACCTTGCCACTCGGAGGCTTTGTGAACCAGAGAGTCCACTTGTTCTGAAGAGGGTGCTTCACGTTGAAGTTGTCCTTGTCGTGGAAAACGGTGACGGGCTTGTCGTCGTCCTTGACATCGGAAGAATCCTCCTTGCCAGCAGGGTCGACAGGGATGGTGGTGAGGTCGACCTGCTCGTCCATCTTGGGGGTGTCAGCTACAGCGGCGGCCATTTTGTTGGTTTTCTGTTTGCAGAGTCGTGGTGGAAGTTGAAGGGTTTCGCAGATGGAAGATCGCGGGGCAGAGTCGATAGAGTAGAGGCAAAAGAAGTGGAAGAGATTCAGAAGTGGGGCCAGAAGCAATGAAAATGAATGTTCAAATTTCAAAGCAATTCCTTCCTTTCGTGGAGAGTTTGTCTGCAACTTTGCACCAGGCAAGAGTCGCGAATAGCGGTAGAGTGAGAAGGAGTAGTAGTCGAATTTGACGTTGTCGGAAGGTACGAAATGCGCCTGTTGAAGTTTGGTTTGTGTCGCGAGGCGCAAGCAAAAATTCTTAGGTGCTGACCTAAAACTGCTTCACTTTGAGTTTGGCAACCGCACTGGCTACAGGCGGTACCTGACTTCTGCCTAAAATGTTAGGCCACATTTCTTTGCCTCTGGCTTGCTTCAGCCTCTAACGTTTCAAAAGTCAAACGAACCTCATATTTCTCATTCAACTCCTTAATAGCCAGGTATTCGCATTAATTTGCAAGGAACAATGCCAGGGCTACACCGAAGCTGCAGGTATCATTGACCCTTCTCTTGTTTCAACATGGGCCTCACGTGCCAAGCAAGAGCCTTCTTTGTCCCAACTTTGTGTCCATATCCGATCCACGCTCCAGGAGCTAATGATTTGCTTCCACGGTCCTAGTAAGTTTATCAACGATGGGAAGCTAATAACTCTAGGATATCTTTGTGCCAAGGCCAAGAAGGGGAACTGAAATCGCACAGGGTATTTCTGATGGAAAATACTCTCTCCTGGTTAGTGGTTCAACAATACTTGCAATGACATTCAAGCAACATATCCACAAATCGAGCTGGTATGAACCTGACTGTCAACTAGCGTCTATCGGGCCTCGAGAGTTTAATGCAACTCAACTGCATATGACGCAGTGTTTTCAGTCACGCGCATATTCAATGTGGAAAATGGTGTACAAATTTGCCCTTGAAAGTGAGCCGCCTATATGAGCTTTTAAAGGCTCATAAGTGCCATGCTGATATGCCATTGGCTTGTCGAATACAATGTGCTGTCATACTTGGTGTGATCTCCTGGCGTGGATGAATTCGGGTTAACAGTTCAACTTCATGACCCCATTTATGCCTCCGCCTCAAATGGTCAACCACAAACCTTTGTACGACTTTGAGCCGTTCGGTCCTCGCACCATTTCTCATGTAGGCTGGGATCTAGACATTTCTCTAACCCTGGTCAAAGTGTGCCAACAGCCGCATTCGAATAAGACACATGGGGCTAAAACATCAAGGACAAAGGAACAACACAGTCAGATATAAACGGCTAAGGCGGTTTCACACAATTGTATTCATCCAGTCAGAGGCTCTGCTCTGGCCAACTTGTACCAACTCTGACATTGCTGCGTCACTTCTCCCTTGCAGCGAGGCGTTCGAGGCGCCAACGATCATCCAGAGCTACAATTAAGCCTCAATAGTCACCCACCTTGAACCACGTTCACCATTCACAGACGATCTTGGGCTGATGGAGCGGGATTTCCCTTTGACGTTTCCCAATTTCATTGGCTTTATGAATATTCCTCGTCCCACAAAGGGATTGACAACTGGTGTGCACCCGCTTCATTACGTACTATACACCATGATCTTGTCCCAAATGATCACCAGAGACACGCTAGGTGGTCCTGTAGGAGTGCAGGTACTGGCTATGCCACTCTGGAATGTGAACGCGCCTCACAACCTCGATTTCATCCCACCATCGCGACCCCACGGGTCCCTTGGTGTGTCCGCGAGCCCCTCATGCTCATGAGCCATCATCCGAGACCTGTGCGATCAACCGTGGACTGACCAGGGTTGGCATGCCGGGCCTTTTCGTTCATAGTCGACCTGATGTCCATATATAGAAGCACCAACTTATAACAAGTCCGTCTTTCCCATCAAAGACAAAGGAGTTCCCCTCACCAACACACCCTTCCAACCCAACTCTTTGTGCCTCTTCTTTTACTCTGCCCAAACCTCAATCACACAATCTACTACCAACTTAAAATACCATCATGGAGCCAGAGACAGTAGCCACTTCCTTTGAGAAAGATGCTTGCAAGACAAAGGACAATGCCCCCAAGGGCAAGACTCGAAGTAGTTCTCTTTTAACAATCAGCTCGGGCTTCACCTTTCTTGCTGCCCTTCCTGGAGGATCAAGCTCTTCGTCGTCTTTCAGATCATCATCTTTTCGATAAATACCCAACATCAACTCTTGTCTTGTTCGATCTGTCCTTCGTTTGCACACTCTTTTGTTTAATTGTTCGATATCGCTTACACTCTGCTGGGTCAGCTGCTTCTTTCTACATTCCTTCTTGACGTTTTAATTCAACCCGTTTCTGTTCTGTGTTATACTACATACATGATGCGGGAGCTCAGGTCGTTTAGTCCTGTACGCCGCAGTCTTGATTTTGTGCCATTTTGTTCAGACATGGAATTACCAAGCAATTTTTACGAATATCACTTCAGTCGTCTTGGTGCTGAGATCTGTACTATTGTGTTATCAGCATTCTCCCCCAAAGAGGAACATCAGGCTCCTCGAATGTCCCCGTGGCTAGGAGACTATCCGGAAGAATTCATCAGATATGTTGAGCTTGTAGCTCATATGGACGCACGCGCAGGGAAATGGGATAGACTCCTTCGTGATAGGGGTGAGAGAACGAACCTCCTTCAAGCTATCATTTTCAAGGCTCTCGACAATCGAGTCTTTTCACGGCTGCTGTTTGGCGCCAGCTCCAAGCATGATGAGACATTGCATAATTCCGATGTTGCACTCATCACTGCAGAAGGTATGTGATACAACTCGAGATAGGAGCAGCGCCACTAACGTTCTTGGAGGTTTCCAACGTAGTGAACTCCGAGCCCATACCAACAGAGTTTGGCTTAAAAAGAGCAGAGGGGAGCCCGACTTATTATGGAGTGAGGTCGACAAGCTTACCACCGAGGTTTACCTTCTGCTGCTCCACGTCTACGAGTTCACGGCCAGCTTTGATGGTTATGAACCCATTTCCAGAACGGAGTTGTATCAGCTACTGCACGATGTGATTTCATACGCAGGTTGGCTCAGCGTGGGACTTCGCATGTCATCAGCCATCGTCTCGATCAACTGGCTCATACCTGGTGAGCTGTACGCACTGAACCAAGTGAGCACCTGTCAACCGGCGTACCAGGCTTCAAAGGAGGCAGCTCAGCAGCATGATATGCGGTTACAGGAGCAGAGACCTGAAAGAAAGCAAATGAGCTCTATGGCCAGAGTCAAAATATCCGTCATTCCAGAGATCATTCAATACCGGCCATATCCCAAGGACGCGAATGTCGAGGGTATTGATTCCTACATAATAATGGAGCCGCATGCGGTGCATTACGAAGGGTTTCTAGAAGAGCACGATGAGAACAGGGCCTTCATCAGCTTGCCAGACTACATCAAGAAGCTACGGGATAGAAATTGCGCACCACGTAACACTGCCCTGGTCATAATGGTCACTGTGTTGACCTGTTTGTGGGTTCTTTATACCATCTCGGGACAACAAACCTGGCAGAAAGCCAGGGGATGGGTGATTCCGGAACCTGAGCCTGAACCTAAGAAACCATGGTATAGACCATGGTAGTGTATCTACCTGGTATTTGTGGCCGTAACTAGGTGGGGGTCGTCGTCTTTGTTGCTGCACTTGGACTTTGGAGTTTATAAAGGTTACATCGGAATATCACAATGCAAGACTGTTAAATTCTCTATTGGTTCTTCTCAGAGAAGGGCTCCTCCTCATAACTGAACTGGAAAAGTTTTCATGACGATCATGGCAATCCCATGGACATTATAGTGTTTGACGTTTTACTGCAGGGTAGTTCTGGGCGAAAGCCAACAGCTTCTAGATGCTCATTTCGCTCCGGCACCACAACAGCGGATCACATCTGCAGCAGCTGATCGGCTTCCGTAGCTCAGTTGGTTAGAGCGTCGTACTAATACTTCATTCCGAGTATCCGGTAATGCGAAGGTCTCAGGTTCAAGCCCTGGCGGGAGCATTGTCTCTCAGTGCCCATCAGCTGATTTTTTGTGCATTTTTGCCGATTTTCCTGTACTGGAATCTATATTCGTCCAGATATCACCAAGTCTTTCATGGTGTTGAGTGGGATCTGGTGTGGGCGGAAGTCGCCGTCAGGGTAGGAGCGACCTACCAGGTGGATCTGATCTTGATGATCAGATAAGATTAGGAGAAACAGGATCAAATCATTACACCATTCAGATGCAATCCCTTGCCTGTGACCCCCAAATTGTGTGATGAACCCCTCACTGTTGGTGATGGAGTCTGCATTGGTTCCTCTCATACATCCATATCGTACGATCCAAACTAGATCTGCAGAACTACAACCACTGTGAGAGCAGTCCTAAGTTTAGCCTGCCTTAGTATAAGTTACTCTAAAGACCCTAAAGCTTAGGATTGACTCGCCCTAAGCATATCCTAAGACACCCCAGATGCTGTTCAGGCTTTCTACGTAGGGAGTGACATATCGCTACAATCCGAGTCCATTATGCTGCAGTTGTGGCTTCGATGATATTTCTTTTCGAAATGATTCTCCGGAGATTGTGGTCCCTGATCATCAAGTTGTAATGCATTAGTGTTTCGGGCCTCATTCTGCACACTTTGTTCCCGAGCCTAAGGTATGGGACGTTACTTGGATCTCTGACTCGTGTCGAATTGGCACCCGGCTAAAGCATGCAGATGATCGAGGATCTATTTCGATAGAACACGTCCAGTGAAAGACCGCGTTTGACCTCGTTCCTTCAAATACACGAGACGTCGCACCTAGACAGGCTGGGTAAGCTTTTTTGTACTAGAACTGCCGCGCGCCATCTCAGTCTTTCCACTGGAAGAACTTTGCCTTAGGCTCTTCAAGTCTCGTCCACGTTTCTGATGCAGACGATTCTCTGTCGTCTAAACGATGATTTCTAATGACTGGGAATAATATTGATTTTACGACGAACTCAATTGATGTGAAGTAAGTGGGAGGCAATTGATCAGCTCTCATCACATCCATCAGCCACCAACTAAAATTGTCACCCATGCTATTCAGGTTACACTTCAGCTTTGGAAAGGTATAGCACAGTATGCTCATTTTCCTAGGTACTGATGTGGACTCGATCGCAAGTTGATGCGATTACGGAAGTGAGTGTATCAGGCAGAGCAAAGTTTCCAACCACCAACTGGGCTAGAATACGAGAAGTCCACGAGGGACCCTGCAGGGACAATAGAGAATCCATCAATCACTCGTAACGGGTAACGACATGCAGTAACTGCCGTGAGACTTTGATCGAGGGAGGCTGGGCAACGTGTATCCGTAAGCCCAAGGCTTTGTGTAGCCTCCCAGCGGCCGATATTGAGTTTACGACATTAATTGCCAAGCAACTAGATTGGTCGTTGTCTAACAATTATAGATTGGATCCAGATCGAAGGTTTCAAGCGTATTTCCTCAGTTATGACTACCTGCTCCGTATCCGTACTCAGTACTATGTTGATTCTGAGAACTTCTCTTACCATTTTCTCCCAGTTTAGTTGAGGATGAGACAAAGTTTATTCGGCCCATCCCGCCCCCTAGGTTCCGCGCGCCAACGGCCTGAAGTACATATCAATATTCGGGAGCAGCCGTTTTAGCTGTATGACTTCATCAACTTGACAAGTGAAGTCAATTGAAGAAAGAGTGTTTTATTTTGGCTTTATTAGCCACCACCAAACGTGCAACCGTCAACAATATCAATTGCCCTCGGAAGCCCAATTATCCCGTTCTCACATTCTTAATGGCTATCTTGTCCGGGCCCGTCCCGTGTCTCCGATGCCAGCCACCCGCTTTTTTGGGTCTTCGGAAGAGCTCCAAGGGTGAGACACGGTGACACCCCGCCCCCAGCCATCCCCAGCCTTGACCTGACGAGGAAGACGAGATATATCAAGTTTTGGATCCTTGCTAGTAGCTTCAGCTCCCCATTTATGGATTTTTCTGATGTGACTATGCTCGGCGCAAAGTGTGTTCTGGGGAGATATCAACGCCCAAACTTACCTCAACAAGACCAACGATCACATTCGAGGCTGGGAAATATGATGAGCATGGGGAAGCTTCCAGGTAATAGACAGCTCTTGGATGGATTTAGATAGCTCCAGGGACGTGTAATCCCTGCACCGCCGCGGCATCTTGGGCTCCAAGGTAGAGAGCAGAACAGGGCAGTTCCCGGCTCTGCTATCGTCCGTATCGACCCAGGAAAGCCTTGAATTCTCATCTCTCTTTCCTCCTCAGCCATCTTAACTTTTCCTCTTGGTCCCTGCAGACTGCAGGAAAATTCTTTTTTTGCTTTCCCTCAGCTAAACAACACCAATTCTGCAAAGCATTGTCTAGTCCGGCAGCTCGCATGAGCCCTAGACTAGACTCAGCGCCCCGCTACAGCTCCATTTACGCGGGCCTTCCACTGAATTGCTAGCGCCTGAACAGCCCAAAAATCAAAGCTTCGCTACGTTCGCTTCAGCCTCTCATCCTTTACCCGCCTCCCGCTCCAACGTACAGTAACGCGCGATTCAACGCCTGACATCCATCTTTTCCGTCTCTTTTTTTTTTTTCGCCTCTAACGCGCTTGTCCAATCACACCGCCCCGAGGATCAACTGTCAGCCTCAGATGTCGACGCCATACTGGGGCCAGTTACCTGGGCCCAAGGTCGCCCAGACTGGCCATGCGGGCCATACCCGCCGCATGTCTGAGTCGGACGACTATGCCTATAATGCTGACCGTAGATCTTCGCTCGACGCTGCCCCAGTTCGCAGATCGAATCGTGGTTCTTTACAAACTCAGGTCACCGAGGCTCCTACTGAATCTACCTTTAGTCCCTATGATTCTCCAACCACTTCTAATTTCGCTCCCCAAGGTCTAGCTCCAAGACCATCTTCTTACAGACGAGACGTACCTGCTGCTGAGGCTTCTAGACCACCCCAACAGAGCCGACAGCAAGAAGAGTACGACAACGACGAGCCATTGTCGCCTCCTCCGCCTGCTCCAGAAGTTCCTCGCGGTCCTCCTGTGAGCTATCGCCATCCTTACGGTAACGGCGGTCTTCCTTACACCTACACCGCCTCAGACACAGCCGCACCTCGCGATCCTAACCCACAAGGCGGCGATATGGAAGACGATCAATACCAAAGGTCCTCTGAAAGGACTGGTGGTCAGAGACCTGACCAAGGCCAAGAAGATTTCTCAAGACGAGGCTCAGGCGCCAGCGCATTCGATCCATTGTCGAGGAGACAAACAACAGGCGGGTCCTCAGACCGTCGCAAAGCGTTCGCAAACGACCGATCACCCCTCCAAAGGCTTGAGCTGACGCTCGACAGCATGACCAAGGAGGAAAAACGCGCACGAGTTGAAGCCGCTGAACGACGCGCAAGAGAACGACAGGCATTGAAAGCTGGAAAGCAGCCTGCAGGCCAGCAAGTGCGGTCTCATGAACGGAAACCCTCCATCACCCATGGTGAGAGACGTCCGTCGGGCAATACAGCTTTCTTTTCAGGTGCGCAACCTTCAGCGCAAAGAGATGTGTCCCGAGACGTTTCTCGGGATGTGTCACGAGAATACCCCAGAGATACCCAGAGAGACGCATCTCGCGATGTCCCACAAGACACCTACCGAGATATCCCACAGAATGCGCAAAACGATGCGCCAACAGATGTTTATCAAGAATTGCCCCCACAAGTTACGGTGAAGAGAGGAGGCTCACATCGTCGCCGCGTGTCAGTAGCGCATCCCCAAGAAGCAGAGAAGTACTACGCCTCAGGCGCAATGATGGAACCGGACGATATGGAGCCTATGCCTCGGCGCATGGACCCTCAATCTGCCATTCCCAGACATGTTGAGCCGACTTCTGGCATCCCTCAGCGCAACTTGAGCTTCCGTGAGAGAGCAGCTCGAGATAACGTACAGCTTCCTGAACAGACCATGGCGAGGGAACCTACTCAGCCAGCACCTCAGACTGGGGGGTTCTCCTTGACGAGAAGTGGCAGCAACAAGCTCAAGAAGCCTCCGCCAGTCGACTATCAGTATGCTCCTCGCCGTGTGGTATCAGAGAGGCGTCCTGCACCTATGGTTTCGGCGATGAAACCCCAGCAACAACAGTTTGATGACGATGACTACTACTATGATGATCAAGATGACCTACTTCCTCCTCGACAGAATACCCAACAAAACACTCAACAAAACACTCGGCAGATTACCCAAGAACTTAATGATCGCTTTACCCGCGATAAAGAGCTACCCCCGGACCCTCCACTAACAGACGATGCACGAAGACCATCAGTCGACTTTGTTCCTGGGCGTCAACAAATACCTATGCCTGGTGATAACCAGGGTATCAGGAGGCGTGTTACTGAGCCTGTCCCTCGGGTTCAGTACGCTGACGAGGATGAATTCATTCCTCCTCCTCCTACTCGTGGTAAATCCATTGGCACTAGACTCCTTGGTAGGAAGGAAGTTGATGATGGATCTCGTGCTCAGAACCAGGCCGCTGTTCGTAGGAAGGCTGAGAGAGCAGATAGCTTTTCTTCTGCTAGTTCTGACTCTCATCACATCTCGAACATGGTCTTCAAGCGTCCGGAGGATATGGTCCCCGGTGATGGCCTGTATCAGCCACCCCAATGGCTTGATGAGTGGAAGAAGGGAACCGTTGGTAGCTTGTCCGGAAACTTCTTGGATCTCCAGGATAGCCACTTTCCAGAGCCAGACACACACCAGGCTTGGTGGGAGCAAGATAAGAGCAAGGGCTACGCGGCACGACCACGAAAGGCTGAGGCCTTTGATGGCGAATACAACGAGCAGTGTAAGTGTGGTGCTATTTTATCGTCGATCCGAAATCAACTGACACAACCCTTTAGCCCCTACTCGCTTTAAGCCTGCACTCTTCATGAAGTGTGGCCCGCTGTTGAGATACTGCGGGATCAAGCGCGAGAAGGTCCCCAGCAGAACAGATAGAACTGGTGCTCTGGTGGAACGAGAGATGTGGCGTGGCAGCATCATGATTGTCACTCAAGATTCTGACTCTTCATATGATATTGCACCCACACTTCGCCTTTTCGTCCAAGGCCTTGAGCTGCTACCTCCCCCTCCTCATCGCGTCAAGGGTGACTTGTCGCCCGAGTACGTTGATCCTATCGCGGGGCACCCCAAGGTGGGCCGTAGAGGAGAAACCCTTTACGTGCGCCCTGTGGATCATATAGATGAGGCCAAGGATCTCTCGCGTGACGAGACTGATGCTGGACTGTTCGAGCAGACTCGCAGCGCTCCTCATCAATCAGGCCCTGACGGCCCAACTGATCTGCCTGGATCTTTCGCCAGCCGTCGAAAGCGTATTGGCATCGATGGTGAGAAGGTCCAGAAGTACAAAGATGTGAGAGGCTCCAGGCTTCACACTGAGCGCGGATGCACTTTCTGGCGCTTCAACATCGAAGTGGAGCTCCGTGAGAAGCAGCAGCGCATTGCGTATCGCATCAACCGCGGACCGGCCACAGGTTTCTGGGTCCCTGCTCAAGGCGACACTATGAACATGATGTTCCACAGCTGCAACGGTTTCAGCATGAGCGTCAAGCCTGATGAGCTTAGTGGCCCTGATCCCATGTGGCGCGATGTGTTGAACAACCACCAAACACGACCTTTCCATCTCATGATTGGTGGCGGTGACCAGATCTACAACGATTGTGTGTCGGAAGAATGCAGCCTTTTCAAGGAGTGGCTTCGGATGCGCAACCCTGTCCATAAGCACACTGCTGCTCTGACTCCTGAGATGCAAGATGAGCTGGAGACCTTTTACCTAGAGAGGTACTGCATGTGGTTCTCACAAGGTCTGTTTGGCCTTGCTAACTCCCAGATTCCCATGGTCAATATGTGGGATGATCACGACATCTTTGACGGATATGGATCGTATCCTCATCACGACATGAAGTCGCCTGTTTTCAGTGGCCTGGGTGCAATTGCGTACAAGTACTATATGCTGTTCCAGCACCAGTCCATTGCCACTGAGACAGAGACTACCGAGTCAAGCTGGATTCTTGGCTCAGAGCCTGGTCCATACATCGGCGAAGTTGGCCGCAGTCTGTTCATGTCTGTTGGTTCCAGAGTTGGACTTCTTGCAGTCGACTGCCGTACTGAGAGGACAGAGCATGATGTTGTTTCTGACAAGACATGGGAGAAGATTATGAACCGACTGTACGCCGAGGTCCGCCGTGGACAGGTCGAACATCTTCTGGTGCTCCTGGGTATTCCTATTGCGTACCCCAGATTGGTCTGGTTGGAGAATATGTGAGTGACTTGCCGAGTGATTACCAAAAACTCAATACTGACGTGATAATAGCTTGACATCCAGACTGATGGATCCTGTCAAGGCACTTGGCAGGACCGGTGTCTTTGGCAAGGCTCTCAACAATATTGATGGCGGTGTTGAAGTCTTGGATGATCTGAACGATCACTGGACTGCCAAGAATCACAAACAGGAGCGAGCCGTCGTGGTTGAAGACTTGCAGGATCTGGCTATTGACAAGTCTTTGCGAGTCACTATCCTCAGCGGTGACGTCCATCTTGCGGCTGTTGGACAGTTCTACTCCAACCCCAAGTTGGGACTTGCCAAACACAAGGACCCGCGATACATGCCCAACATCATCTCATCAGCCATTGCCAACACACCACCTCCTGATCTGATGGCTGATGTGCTGAACAAGAGAAACAAGGTGCACCACTTCGACAAGCAGACTGACGAGGACATGATCCCCCTCTTCCAGCAAGGAGTTGATGGCAAGCCGCGAAACAACAAGCATCTTCTTCCGCACCGAAATTGGTGTGCGATTCGCGAGTGGCAGCCTGGAACCACACCTCCACCAACACCTCCTGGATCTTCTGATGGAAGAAGCCCAAGCCCTCCCCCTAAGCCTCAAGGCGGTGGCCTTCTCCGAAGATTGTCCCTCTCTAGAAGCAAGTCGACATCTTCGGACAATCGCCCTGACCTAAGCAGAGACACCGTTCGTGGCCCTCGACCTCCTGTCACCAGAGGCGGAGGTGGCGGTCTATTCCGCAGCCTGTCGCGACGAAATTCGGCAGATGGGGGCCGACCTCCCCCAGCCAAGCTTCAGCGATCCATGTCTGTTGACCAGGCTCCCGATGCCAAGAAGGCCGGATTCTTCAGCTTCATTCGACGACCTAGTCAGCGTCGTGCTGCTGATGACGGTGGCATCAACGGTACCTGGGGAGACGAAGACGAATATGATGATGAGGAGTACTGGGATGAGCCCCAGTCTCCTCGACGAGGAGGCGCTCGTCCTTCGGGTATTCGAGGTGGAGCTGCCTACGACGAATATACTGAGGGTGACGACTCCTACTTTATGTCCCAGCCTCGTAGATCTCAAACCGTGGGATCGCGAGCCATGTCACACTCGCGCGAGGCTGTGGGCTACATTCCTCCTGCGCCTCGTCCTGGAAACTTTTACAGGACACCTACAGGTCTTTCAACCAAGCAGAAGAAGCAGGCAGACAAGTATGCCGTTGATCTAGAGGGTGGACTCGACATCACCCTGAACGTCGAGATCAATCCCAAGGACCCCACGGGCATCACCAAGCCTTACAGGCTGCTCGTACCGAAGCTGTTCTATGACTACGACGCTGATAATGAGGCACAGAACGTGCCAGAACCGGAGTCGGGCGCAGCTCATGCTGCAGGTGCTGAGCCTGCGGAGCCGAGTGGGTTTAAGAGACTGCTCAGCTTCCGCAGCAAGAAGCCCAAGAACCGAGCTCCTCCGGAGGATGACGATTATAGTGAAGACGACGATGACGACATTGATGTTTACCGCGTGAGATAGGTCTGATATGGACTATCTGTGTGTTTAATATTTCAGCATATGGTTCTGTATCTTGACATAGCCTCTTTATATGCTCTCGGCATTCGGACGGAGTTTTTTTTTTTTGGGATATGTGTTACTATGGGAAAATTAGCAGTGTAGATACAGCCATCTAAAAGGCGTGTATATTTTGATTCATGCTATAAATGAAAAACGAGCGTTGATCCATTTCTAATCCTCTCTTCCTCTTGTTACCTGATGTTTTTATTGAATCCATCAACCGATAGTCCGGGCCGACTTGAGTCTTGCCCCTGAGACAGTTCGAGGGACACTTGCAGTTCGTCAGCCGCTAAAACCCCTGAATAGCGGGGATCCGAGCGCTAAGCAAGCCCCAACCAGGCCCCGGAATTTCCTCATGCAGACCGGAAGAAAGAAAGTTGGCGAATCATGTCGAGGCACGCATGAGGAAGGTCGAGCTACGTGCTAACGTATTTGTCCTTATGAGGAGACCAACTTCAACACGCCATCTTTCTTTCAAGACTCTTGAACTATTCACTCCTTTCACAATTTATACGACGTTGGACACGAAAAGACGGCGAATTGCTGCGACACGGCCCCGAAATTAGAAAGAGCACGAAAACGAGACGATAAATTGTTTGACTGAAACATTGACATTCGTATCAAGGGGCCTCCTTGTTCCCTGAAACGTCGATCAACAAAGGCTACTCCGTACTTCGACGACGAATACCGCATTGTGAACGAACCACGATACGACGACACTTTTTGCGTGGAGAGCCTAACTGCGAGGCTTTGGATCGTGGGAGCAAGGGCATGGCGCCATCATGTCGCGCCAATACCAGTATCACACCAACTCCAAGGTTCCGAGGAACATCCAGTCAATAGGCCATGTTCTATCGGTCAACGCACAGCAGACGGCGCATCAGCTGAGGCTGTGGGCTCTTGGGCCGGGAAAGCGTCTAGCTGCGTCGATGGGTGAACGAATTGCGCGGAGATTACGGCGGAATCTTACTTCAAGACGGTTGTTGAGCTTTCCACATCTGGTGGTATTGTTTTGGATGGTAGTGTTGTTGTATGGCGAGCGATGGGTGTTTAACAGCAAGGTTGCGAACTGCGATTGGGATCATTGGGAGAGATGGGTATGTTTGGCTTCTCTCAGTGCAGCATGTGACTTGGAAGAGACATGACTGACGATGTGTAGCCGAAAGATGCGAAACCTCACCACCTCGTCTTCGTCGCCGACCCCCAAATAATCGATCCTCATTCCTACCCAGGTCGTCCCTGGCCTATCAATCCTCTCACAGTCCTCATTACCGACAACTACCTACGACGAGGCTACCGAGCCATGCAGCGACGATTACATCCCGACAGTCTGTTCTTTCTCGGCGATCTTTTCGACGGTGGCCGGGAGTGGAAGACCCGCGAGGGCAAGTTCGTCGATCCGAAATGGGGACGTGGCCGTTCAAAGGAGGAGAAGAAGTTGGTTCAAACGTGGCACGACAAGTACGGCGAGGATTTCTGGTTACACGAGTATGAGAGATTCGGGGATATCTTCTTCGAGCACTTCAATGACGGTGGAGAAGCACCCGGGGCTTGGCAGCGCGGGCGGAAGCTGGTGACGAGTTTACCGGGAAACCATGACTTGGGTTTTGGTGCGCAAGTCCAGGTTTCAGTGCGGGATCGATTCAGTGCATTCTTTGGGGATGTGAATCGTGTTGATGTCGTTGGAAACCATACGATTGTGTCTGTTGACTCGGTCTCTCTGAGCGCGGATACTTCAGAGTGGAAGAACCAGCATGATTTGCAGCCTATCTATGGACCTGTGAATGAGTTTTTGGATGGTGTAAAGACACTGAAGAGAAAAGCAGCTGAGGAGGAGTTGCGCCATTATTACGATCTCCAAGGAGGCCTTCGATATCCTCACCACGTCGAGGAGCTGGAAAGGTCGAAACCAACATGGGGGAACAACCCTGAAGCAGAAAAGGCTGACGGACCCGACTTTCCTACGATTCTCCTGACTCACGTTCCGCTCTATCGAGCCCCTGGAACACCTTGCGGACCTCAGCGAGAACATTGGCCACCCGCCAAACCTCCCAAGGGGCAGAAAGAGCCAGTATTCCCTGATCATCGAAACGCTCTCAGCGTCGTTGGTGGATATCAATACCAGAACGTGCTCAACGAAGAGGACTCAGTCAAGCTGGTTGAAAAGGTGGGCAACATCAAGCATGTATTCTCAGGCGATGATCACGACTACTGCGAGGTTGTGCATTCTGATGCGAAGGAGAATGTTCGGGAAATTACCGTCAAGAGTATGAGCATGGCCATGGGTGTTCCTACCCCGGGTTTCCTCATGGCGAGCATGTACAACCCTGTTGATGCTCAAGGCAAGCCACTGCCTGGAGCACCAGAGCAGACGATCCAGACTCATCTGTGTCTTTTGCCGAACCAGATCCATACATATATGGAGTATATCGTCTTCATCGTCGCAACGCTTGTGCTTCTCGTCGTTCGCGCTGCACTTGTACCTGCGCTCTCACTCGCCCCTTTCGCTCTCGAGCCCGAGAAGTCATCGCCTTCAGCTGTCCTGCCTATGTATAAGGACAAGATGGACCCCCCTGAGGCATCGTCATACCGCAACACCACATCTTCAGGTACTTCAGCGCATCACCTACCCTCACGCCTATCAGCCGCAGCACCCCGTAATGGACGAAGCGCGTCCCCTGTTCAGACCTCAGGTCGATGGCAGGCTCGACGTGGAGGCCGTAGCGATAAGCGCTGGGGCTGGGGGTCTGCAGGCGGACCACGAATCCATCTCGACGATAATCTCTTTAGCACAAGCGTTCAGGATCAGCGTATCGGTGGTAAGAAGGCTCTTGGCGTTATCGTTCGAGAACTATGGACGACGACATGGCGTGTTGCTTGGATGACAGTCTCGTTTTTCGCATATCTTGCATGGAGAGGATAAACAAACGCGCATTGGGAGGAGTATCGGTTTTGGCCAGAACAGCTTCAAGCGCTCTGTATATAATAATTCACATTGGGTTAGGAGAACATATTGATGTTCTTGGAAAACAGGCTTTGCTTAATAGCCGATATAGCGCTCTCGCAGAGCTGTTTTGTATGTATAAACAAGACGATAAAAGTAATAGGAATGAACAGATATATTTCATCATACAAAACGGTCAACTAAGAACCATGAGCCGCTTTATCAAACCCAGACCCAACCCCATCATAGGCATAACTCGTAACCACTCCCTCCTCTCATCTCCTCCTCGAAATACCGATTCTCTCCTCCCGGACCCTCCTGACATCATCATCCCTCTCCCTCTCCTGCAGCGCCTGATGGACGCCCTCCATATCAGCCTGACTCTGCTGAGCAGCCGCCACAGCAGCAGCTCTTCGTGCTTGCTGTGCTGCGACGAGGGCTTCACGTGCACGACGGTCCTCGTAAGAAGCGACGTCCTCTGAAGTGATGTGTAGAGTTGTTGCAGGTCGTCTGAGCATTGTGATTTCTTTGTGGTTGGCGGTGGAAGAGTTGTTTCTGGCTTTGAGAAGCTATTGATGAACACAAAGGGCTTTGGTTGTTATGATGACTTGGTGAGGGTGACGTGGAAATAGAGGGAGACGTCTTTGTATATGTTCTTGTTTGGGAGACGGAAGGATAAGGATGTGGAAGAAATAGAAAAAGAATAGGGCACGTTTTTTGTTGCCTTTGTTTTGGCACTTTAGTTGATGAGATGCTTTTGCAAGGATCGCATGAGACGGTTGGCTGTGAGTCCGGGGAATTGATTGGCTACCACAGACACAGGCACTCACTCGTCGCTGTAATCTTACCCACTGTAAACACTAACTTTGACGATACAATCTTCACGCTATAACATCAAATGTCAAATGTCAACCATCAAACGTCAACTCTTTTACATCATCTATATAACGTGATACTTCGTATCGATATGTTGATCATCTATTATAAATGCTCTCAGCGCCTTCAATGCTTTGGTATATGGTAAACATGTCAAAATGAAATCTCATGCATGGGATGGATACATCAGCATCCCAGCCAAATGAACCGCGAATAACAAAGGAACGAACAAAAATCACCCTCACGGTGATACACTGAACCCAGATGCATACACATTTTCCGCCTCCCACTTCAGAAAATCAGGCAGGTCATGGTCTAGGTTGTAACCCATCGGTACCGTATCCGGAATATCGGCTTCGCCAGAGCCCATATGAACCACGAGAGGCATCATTGGGCTCGGTGGTAGGCTGTCTTCCGAGCTGTGTGACGAAGGGCGTTTCGGTCGTCCTTCGCCAACCCATCGTTTTAGCCCTGTGCTGTTATAGAACTTAGCTTTGTTGAGAGTCTGGCCGGGCCCCGGGGCGTTCCAGAACCCGGAGGGGAACTCTGCACCCACCGGGATCGGCAGGTCAACTTCAGTGTCGATGGTTGAAGGCGTCGACGAGAGAGTGCTGTGAGCCGAAGACCTCATTGAAGGCGTATGCTCTGACACAGAAACAGCCACGCGTTCTGGTTCTGGCTCAGGCACGTCTCCGGGTATCAGCACCCCGTATGTCTCAAAGCCAAACGTATCGAACCACGATGTGATTTCTTCCACCTGCTTTGTGTCCTCCTCGCTCGACGTGTCTTCGAGGAAATCCCCGGCTCCTCCCAAGATCGCCATCTGGAACGCTGTCCAGTCTAATGTGTCGTCCATGGTCTTGACTCCTTTGCCAACCTCGGCCTTGGCTAGGGTGATAGGTCCATGACGGAAAGATGGTTTTGTGAGAGTATAGGGTGTACTCTTGAGGTAGAAGAACTCATCGTTCTCTTCCATCTTCATATTGGTGATTTCGGTGGTCGGCAGGCTAGCCGGACGCTCAATGCTTGCCTCGTCTTTCGCTGTCGCCGCCCCAATGGCTTCGGGGATCGATGGTAGCTTTTGTGAAGTCTCTGCACCGAATCGTGCAGGATTCTTGACCGGCAATTGGGGTGAGATCTC